AAAAAAATGCGTGGCAGAGAACAATAAAAAAACGAGCATAGTCGGTAAACAATAACATAATAAATATGATGAAAACAAAAATATTCAAATGTTTTGTCGAAAACGTGGTACAAACTGAATATAGCATGTACGGAAACATTACTGCCGTCTGAAACTAACTTTTAATTTATAATTAGACAGGAACATATATATTAAAAGTAATATTTACATCTGATAACTATTGTGTGTTCGAAAGATGTGTATTGCGGAAAGAAAACGACTCGTTTGGGGAAAGATACTTGTAGTTCGATACGAAAGTTGTGACATCGCATCGAAGTAAATAACACGTCATTGTTTACTTGCTCATTATAATATTCCAGCCCAGCTTGCGTTGGGCATACGGCGTTTGACTTTGGTGTTACCATGGAGCATGGACATTTCTACCTCCATAATCTTATTACCTCCATGGTGTTACTATACTACTATACTGTCTATGGTTAAACAGGGCCCAAATTGATAGGGAGTAAAACACGGAAGTGGAAGAGCTGTCCTTGCATTGACCAATCACACAAGAGCTCACAAACACCAAAGAAATATTTGTTGTTGTACTTAACAAAGGGATTTGGCACTAAAAACAATGGAACGTTTATAGGCTTAACGTTGGATTTAGATCGTGTTATAATCCAAATCCCCTACAAAGACTTGTAAGCACAAATTTTCATATGTAAAAACAAATAAACGTCATCATTACGATACACTGCCAATAATGACAGCGGATGGTCTGTGTTATTATATTGCTACAATCAGTCAAAAAAATCATTCCCAGAGGTAAGTGATACACCAGACACTCATGGCGGATGTTAAAAAAATGACGATAATACTTGAGGAAAAAGGAATCACTATTTAACTTAATAGCACAAAATAAGTCTCTGGATTTTCATTCAAATAATTTTAATCGCAGCCACGTTTTAGACTGCCAGGGCTTTGGGACATAACAACTGCCAAGTCCGAGACAATACAATACTAATACTACTAAAGTCGTTTGTGTGGCATGTTTACAATCATACTTCAAAGTTCTAAGGGCGTTTCATCTGTAACTTTGCGGCTGACTGAGAAATATATCAAGATTAGAAAGATAATTTGTTATCAATAAGATATTAGATTACGGCATGTTTACAGTCGTACACAAAGTACGAGGATTTACAGATTAAAATAACAACCACGGTACCATATACCTCGTAAAATATTCTAGTAGACGTATTTATTACCTTGTTTTTTTCAGCGTGAACGTTCGTGCAACACACCAGAGTCTCAATGGGCGGTTTGAATAGTTGACTGATTTAAGCGAATACGATGAGAATACATGTTTTTTTTCTATCATTCATACAACACTGTTTCGTTGTGATCCTGTTTTTATATTTTAACTTGTTAAACGGCGCATTAGCTCATTGATCAAGTTACCAAGGATAACTAATCTGCGTCATGGTAATACGATGCACGCATTCACTTCAAGATCTGTCAGCCTTCCGAGGTGCCCGAACACGGATGGGTAGTCTTCAAAAGCGCCAAAACATAGCGGTCAACTCCTTTCAAGATTTTGATGAAAACTCGAAAATCTCAAATATTGCCTGTTCTGAAGCGAACCTCAACTTACCTGCTACTTCTATAAGTCGATATGCCTGCGATGATCCTCCTACGTCGCTGTGTGCACTTTGCTCCGATGTTATCTTACAATACCCGAGGAACAATAGGACCGATTACAACGTCGGTTCGACAACCTAACGCGTGATCGTACATGACGCACAAAGTATCAACCAATATGCAGAAAATATGTACAAATATATTTTGTTCATTTACACATGACTGGGCATTTTATTTTGTGATTCAGATTGATAAACTGGGTCTAAATTGTAGTACCAATTAAGAAACTGCGTTATTGCAATATTTTTTATGGACTTGTCACATTCTGACGGACTTTTGA